AAGCATACTCTACAGCCCAAAATCACACTTCAGAAAAAAGCAATAAGGATAATTAAAGTAGGACACAAAAAACACACAAACCCACTATTTATAAAATGATGTGTAAAACAGCACAGATAATGCACTGAACAAGACATAATCTACTCAAAAATATTGAAGAATTGTTTACAGAAAGGGGAGTATATTATCTGAGAGGAGATAGAAATAAAAAAATTAAAAAAATAAGAACAACAATAAAAAGTCTGTATCAACCTGTGGAGGGATGGCTCAAGATACGAAGCAAAGTACGAAGAGAAATATATTTTAAAAAGGTACAAAAAACATTTCTAAGTAGTTTTAAGGAAGATGAAGGAAACAAATAAATGGTAAAATATAATGGATATCATTAGATGATTTAGATAAACAGATTTTCTCGTAAGACCAGAAGCAGTAAGTATTTATTGACTAGGCCAGTGGTTCCCAAACTTTTTATCTTCTGACCCACAAAATATTCATGGCAAAAACTTATGACCACAAATATTACTGGTCTGAGTACAAAAACTTTGTTAATAACCCTAAAAACAAAGGCTACACAAGTATAAATACTTGTTTATACTTATTTTGTGTTTTTGTAGTAATTATAGGGAAAATATTACATCACCAATTAATTTGATTACCCTTTAAATTGATTTCTGAAGTGCAGTGGTTCCCAAACTATTTTTGGATGATAAACATTTGTATCAGGTCAACTAAAGATGGGCAGAGTAACAATATTTATTATTCTACATTTATACATTTTAGATGTATGATGTACATTTAAAATGTAATTAATTTAGAAAATATTTTCAGGACCCCACCTTGATGTTTCAGGACCCCACTACGGGTCCCAACACAAACTTTGGGAGCCACTGGACTAGGCAATGTACATATTACTTAAACTGTGGATATAATATTTACTGTAACATGGATTTTGATATAAAGCTATAGTGAATAATGATAAATAGTGTAACAGAGTGGATATTTAAAAAAAGTGTAAACTCACTCTTTTGTGTTTATATGTATGCATGTATGTATGTATGTATGTATGTATGTATGTAC